GCCAGCCTCCATTACCCATAGTGCCAGCCTCCGTCACCAGTAGTGCCAGCCTCCGTCACCAGCAGGGCCAGCCTCCGTCACCAGCAGTGCCAGCCTCCATGTGTTTCTGTTAGAACGAGGATTCCTCCCCAGACCCACCGCACCTGGGAAACCGTGCTGGGGGCCTCTCCTGCAGTTGCTCACGGCTCTTGTGGTGGGAAACCTGAAATACAGAGGCTTTTGTTCTCTCTAGACAGGGAAGGTGTCCTGGGCCTGAGTCCTTCTGTGCCCATGCTCTAGGGGCCTTCCACACGGGACGCTTTTCCGCTCAGTTCCTGACGCTGCCTGCAGTTGAGGGACCTCCCCCGGGTCAGGGCGGGCTGGGCTTCACCGAGGTCTCTGTGAAGACCACCCAGAAGCAGCGTCCCCTGTGTGCGCTTCCCCAGGGCTTCTGATTTCTCCGAGATGGGGGAGTAATTGTAGTGTCACCTCGGGGAAGACTTAGCCAGCGAGGAGCCTCGTCCTGTGAGCCCCAAGTCCTACCTACCTCCTGCTCTGGGTCTTAATGATGCCAGACGGGCTGCACCTTAAGACTGACCACCCTGTTGTAGAGAGCACGTGTCCACGTCCCGTTCCACCCTCCCAGTGGGCCAACGGCTTTGTCTCCCCAGATGCAGTTCCCGGCCTGCACCTGTGGCTTGGCTGTCCACCTGCGGGACCCGGGGGTGCCAGCAGGCCCAGGTGCCACGCAGGACCAGTGGGAGCACCCAGTAAGTAAGAGGTCCCACGTCAACAGATCGCGACGGCGTCCTCTGCTGGTGGAGACCAGGTGTCTCTGGAATTGGGGCACAGCGTGTCTCCTGCAGAGGGAGGCTCTACTGCACCTCGGCCTCCACTGGCCAAGGTCCAGAGGGGCATGGACACAGGAGTGATTCTTTGGGCTCTGAATCCTCAGGACACATAGATATGAAAAAGTAATCACGAGATTCCCAACTGAGCCACAGTTCCTTGAGCAAACAGCCTGTTATAGGGGCCACTTTCAACCACCTACCCAAGGCCGCAGGGGGCTTCTATGTATAAAGAATCGCAAAGTGAAAACTGGAGCAAAAACTGAAGAAAGAAAACAGAGGGGCAGCTTCCAACTCGTGTTGAGCTCGGTTGGTTTTGCCCCCTTCGTTGCGGATTGTTTTTGACGTTTTCCTGTGGGGGGGATTTTCTTGAAGATCCAGGAAGAGGTGACCCACGTCAGTTGTCCCCCGTGGCCCTGTGTGCCCAGCAAGATGAAGTGGACCTGGGTGGAGTTGACTGGCACGGTCCACCTGAGGGAGCCAGACTGCAGTGGCCCCTGGTTCTTGGAGTGGTGCCCACTGCCCTGAAGGGAGGCCAGCCTCTGCTCTCCTCACAGAGCCTCCTTCCAGGAAGGCGGCCTCCTGCTCTGCTCTCTGTGTGCCCAGACACTCTCCCACCCCTTGGCTCCGATCAACTCTGTCTCTGATTATGCCAAAGTCTGAGGCTTCTTATTGGCATTTTCTAAGCACAGCCCTTACCAAAAGCGTGCTCCCCACCTTCCTGAAAGAGTCCTGCCTGTCCTCTCTCAGGGGGTGAGACTGTGACCCCTGGGGGCGGGCAGACGTCGGGGCTCAGAGCACCTCTCCCTCAGTGGCCTGGCGTGGTGCAGCCTGAGGGGAACCTGGTGCTTTGCCCATGGAGGCCGCGGCTGCTTCTGTCCACTGCCTGTCCCCGTCCTGTTCTCTCCATTACTCGGGTTCTTGGTCTTCAGCGCTCGTTCCTGATCACGTCCTGTCAGGGATGTAGAAGTGAACCGCGGCTGTGGGACCAGAGGGAGACGGAACCTGTAGGGGTCGGGGAATGTCCTCGTGACAGTCGGACTAACTGTAGCACCCAGGGTCCTGACGTTGACCTGGGGGCAGAGACGGGCTTCTGTCCCACCCTCCTTAATGGAAAGAAAGCTGAGGCTCCCAGGCAGAGCAGCAGGCCGAGCTCTTGTGGGGACAGGGTCCTGTGTGACGCCTTCCCGTCAAGCAGTGTTCCACGGAACAGCTCTCCGCACGAGGGAACCTGTTGATTGTAAAGGAGCACCCCTGTCCGCTCACTGTGAGCTGCGCTGAGCACGTGCCTGGCTGTGGTGGGGTTGCGCGTCTACCTTCTTGGGGCACCTTGCCGGGCGTGTAAAATGGGGAACATGTCACTAAACCTGACCCTGTTCTGAGACTCTAAGAGTAAGCGAGGGATCAAAGACAGAGGTGATCTCCTTCCTGGGCCAGAGGCACCGGGGCCAGGTGGGGAGCAGGAGAAGTAGGCCAGGCCCGGCGGTGGGGTCCCTTAGCTGAAGTCTCAGGCCACCTTCAGTGGACTGGCAGCCTGTGAATGGCCCCCACTGGGGACCGTTAAAAAGTTCCCATTTAGTTATTTTTAGCAGATAACTAAACAACTGGAGCTCAGCCGTGGTCTCTTGTGCCACGGGTGTCGGAGGTGGGAGAGTGTTGGCAGCAGGAACACAGGCTGGGCAGGTGAAGTCCAGCCTTCCGTCCCCAGGGCTGGGAACGAGTTGGTGGCCTTGGAACTACCACGGTCCACCAGGTCCACGGCTTTTTGTTCCTTCAGTTGATTTGTTTGATGCGTCCCTGATACTCGATATCTAGCCGCTCTCCCTGGTGAGAACCTAGGCGAGAATTCCAAGAGAAATGTCTTTGGTCTAAACCCTGAGGACGTAGAGAACGATCCTGGGGGCACCGGTGCAGAGGGAGAGGCCTGCGCACTCCACCGCCCTGGGCTCTTGGGCTCTGCCCTCCATAGCACCTGGGAGCTCTGCCTTGAGCCACTGACAACTTTAAACCTGTGTTTTTATTCCTGGCCCTCTCATTGCTCCCAGTGTGCGGGTTTTAAAAAGAGCATTTGTTGATGGTGAATCACGTTGTTTGTGTATGGGCTCCGGTGAGTTCTACCAAAGTGTTCACTTCTGCAGAGATCCAAGACTCAGCTGTTCCCCAGCAAAGGAGGAAAACCCCAGAGTCAGAGAAATTCTGGCCAAATGCAGAGCGGAATCAGGAGGGGCAGAGCCAGTGGGCAGGGGAGGGGGGGCCGGGTGCTGCACGAGGGCCACGGGTCTGGGGGGACCACGCGGATGGGCCTGCTGGACAGGCACAGCATCGCTGTAACGATGTTCTGTCTCTCCTCGCAGCCGGGCCCTCCAAGGTGCGCTCTGGACCTGCTTCCGCCAGACGGGCAGCACAAGGACAACGGTGAGCCGGCCCCGGGCGGGCACCTGCAGTTCACACCCCAGGCCTCTGGCTGTCCACGCAGCCCGCAGCGCTCCTTCTTAACGAGTGTGCTGTGCTTAAAGGACACCTGCTTCTGTTTCCTTTCACTATCTGACCACTGGCGAGTTTACTTTCTCATCTCTAGGAAATGCTTCCCGTTATATTTTTATCCTAGTGTCTTCCATTATTATTTCTCTTATGACCACCTAAAACAGTGGCTGTTTTCTTTACGTGGAATGGGACCGAGGAAGCTCTGTGCGTTTTTAAAGGGACAGTGGGTGTTCATGCTGGTTTCTGCAGTACCACTGGGACCTCTCCTAGCCTTCCTGGGCCTGGTGCGGGGACAGATGGAGAGGCCTGATCATGAATGAAGCTCAGAAACTGTGGCGCACAGTCCTTCCTCCTGCCTTGAGAGTGCCTGGGGTTGCCCAGAGACCGTTCAGAGTGCTTGGTTTCAGCTCTGCCGGAACCTGGTGGCCCAGGACACCTGAGCTTGGCCTCCTGCCTGGGGCTGCTGCTCTGTCCCTCCTTCCCACCACGCGGGCTCTTGAGCGTGGACTTGAGGACAGCCCAGCTGCACAGCCCAGCCTCCTCTCTGTTCCCCTCACCAGCTACAAGGAGCTCCCCTGGCACCCAGGGCCCCTTGGGCAGGTGCTTCAGGGTCCGCAGGGATGTCAGAGCTCCTTCTAGAGACAGGACGCAGGCATGTGCAGACCCTGTGGTGGAAGAGGGCAGGGCAGGGTCCCTGAGGGGGCAGAGTTCACTGAGGGTCCCTGGCCAGGCTGAGGGAGGATTGTGGAGTACCACGTGGCATGGTCCTCTGGCCACAGTTCCCAGCTGAGCTCCGTTGCTGCGTGTGGGTTTTACAACACTGTAGAGACACGTCCACAGTCAACTCTGTTTCTGCTCCTGGTGGCCCAGGTGTCCCACGGTTGTGGCAGCAGAGCTCCAACCTCTGCCCTTGTCCTCACATGGCCACTGGCCTTGGGTATCTGTCGGGTCCTCTGCAGGGTCCCGACTGTCTTCCTGACCCTGACCAGGTCTCCGTGTCTCTTCCTGAAGCCCAGTGCCTCTTCAGCACCGCCTGCGTCTCCGGGGCTTTCCCGGGGAGCCAGGGCCCCACTCTCCCAGGCCACTTCACCCACCCACATACCTTCCCTGTCGAGAGTGCTCTTTCTCTGGGGCATGACCTGACTCGAGCAGCAATAGAAATGACTCACTTTCCTAGGGAAGTGCCCAAGCCACCGCCGGAGGACGTCAGAACATTCCTCCTTAGGCATGAGCTGGGCCACCCAATGTCACAACCCGGTGAACATGTGCCAGTGCCAACGAAGGCAGCTGGCACCTGCCTGGAATCCCAGTGTGCACAGGAGCTCAGGAATGGAATCTCCGTCCCTCTCGCTCTCTCTCTGGCCATCCTGGAAATGCATGCTGGCCCGAAGCCAGAGGGGTCCATGTGATTTTAATGTTTAACCTGAAACGTTTGCCTGCTGTTTTTTGTAGGTCTCTTCTCAGAAAAGAAGCCCCCCCAGTAGGAGCAGTCCCCTGCAGAACACTGGAGCAGGGGGACCCGGCCAGGGCGCTGGTGTGTCTTCTCCACTCCTGCACCCCATCAGCTCCACTGCTCAGCTGGGCCCTGATCCCACGGGCTCAGACAGAGGAAAAGTTTCTGGCCACCGAGATCCTGATGTGCCGGAGGGGCCAGTTTCTCAACAGCCCTATCCAGTTCCTCCACGGGACAGCTGGAGCCGCTGAGTGCTGCTCCTGGAAGTGTCCGTCTGCCCAAGGCTGGGGCTGACAAAGACGACCGGTGTGTGGATACCTGCGCTCCAGGGAGGGGCTGGTGGCTGTGCCTTGACACTGTCCGTGTTTACCCAGGACCTTAGTTCTTCAGCCACGTGGTCAGATACTGTGCTCTCCAGGGCTGGCCTGAGAGACCTGGCAATTGGGTGGAGGAGGTGCACATACTTCTTTCAGTTGGGCCAGCGTTTCAGGCTGAATAAAATGGCAATCTTAAAACTATGTTTAAACTCATTTTTTATGATTAAAAGTTGTTGGGCTACATCATTGTTAGTTGAAAGAGATCATGAAACACAAAGTCCTGAAGAGGAGGCGTTGACTTCGCTGTGTTCATACACAGTTACGCAGGAAGTCAGAAATACGCATTTGGGCTGTCTGTTTTTCCTTCCCATGGATTTGAGAGTTATTAATGAAAAATAGAACTCTGGTTTTGTGAACCAATTAAAATGAAAATGGAATGTCTCTAAATTTTATTCGATTAAATTATAGAGTGAGAAGACATATCTAAAGAGGAAGCAGATTTAAAACTATTAAATCTGTCCATTTAGTCGGGATTCTGCTGGGACCAGCCCGAGTTGCCCTCCGAGAGGACCAATGTGTACAGGAGTGTGAGAGCCACGGATTGCCACGCTTCTGGAAGCGCCGGAATCACACGGGGCCCCTGATGTGTTCACGGAGCCACTGGCTCTGCCGCTCCCCGTGAGTGTCCTCAGTCTCTGTGTGTGCTGGGAGCTGTGCAAACGGAGAAGCACAAGAACCCAGAAGACCAGCGTTTTCTGCTCTAGTCGTGTCTGGAGCGTCCCTCAGTTGATTTCCAGGCCTGTGCTTCCAGGGTGTTTACCATCATTCCAGACCTTTCTTCCTGCAAGTGAAGAGCAAGAGGCAGAAGAGCAAGAGGCAGCAGGTCTGCTGTGGGAGACTCCCAGGGAAGGGTTAAAGGGTTATGTGCTCAGATTAGTGTGAAAGTCACTATAATGACAGCTTCTAGTGGTGGACCAAAGCTGGCCCCTGGGGTAGCCCCAGAATTCAAACTGAACGGACTAGAAGATTGGGGGTGGGCTACCTGCCGCAAATAGCAGTCAGCCAGCCAGCCCTGAGCCGTGCTGCTGGCTCCCCTCACCAGGTGTGCACTGAGTGCAGGACACCTGGCTTCATGTGGCGCTGACCACAGGCTGTGGATGTGAGGAGCAGAGCCTGTATTCAGGGCTCAGCCTGCAGCTGGGTCACCAGTGCTGTCTGCACCCCTTTGTACAGAGATTTCAGGGCCTCTCTGCCTCCGGTCACCTCCTGTACTTCCCAGGGGATGTCCAGGGCCTCTCTGCCTCCGGTCACCTCCTGCACCCTCCGGGAGGATGTCCAGGCCTCTCTGCCTCCAGTCACCTCCTGCACCCTCCGGGAGGATGTCCAGGGCCTCTCTGCCTCCGGTCACCTCCTGCACCCTCACAGTGTGTCCAGGCCTCTCTGCCTCTGGTCACCCTCAGGGCCGCAGCTTGAGCTCTGACCTCCTCCTCCTGCAGTGTGGGAACCAGGTTGCAGGGCAGCTGTGTCCCTTTGAGCCAAGGCCGAGGTAGGGGAGTGAGTCTGAACTTGTGCTCCTTGTGGTGGTCATGAGAACCTGACCTTTGACTGCAGAGGGCCCGTCATGGGAAGCGTGAGTGACTTTTTCTGGGTGTGCCTTCCTTGGGGCGCTCTTGGGGGGAGACACAGGTGGCTCTCTCCTAGTCCAGGTGGCCTCATTTGTTTTGGTTGGGGTCCCACTTTCCTTTCTGACAAGAGCGATGACCTTGGACCCGTGGCTGGGGTGATGAGCCTCCAGTGGCTTCTGGGTGGTCTCTGGTGGGTTCACTGAGGTCCCCATCAGTGGGAGTTCCGCCCCCGTCATGGATGACTCGTGTGGCGCACAGAGAGGCCGGTGACGTCCACCGGGGCTCACAGCAGGTAAACGGCAGAGCCAGGAATCAGAGCTGTCTGCACGGGCCGCAGGTTTGGGCACCACAGGGCTCCTTGCTCCCATGGGTCTGGGGCTTTTCCTTAAATTGTATTAC